GTTTGACCATCGTGCTGACCGCCGTCGCGGCGTTCGTTTGACGTCCCGAGAGTTCCAGTCCCTTACCATCCTGGTCCAAATGCCATTATAATATCGCGTAACGTGTTCTTCTCATCTGATCAGCCCTTTAGAGGTAAGTGAGCAAGGAAAGGGAGCCGGATGTTATGTAAATACAAGTGAGTATTGTCTGTATAGCGATTTCATGAAACTTTCAGAATACTAAGAAACAATGTGGAGTTTTGCGAAATTCCGTTGACCCGTTCCAGACGACCTAATAATTACCTGGACTGTTGTCAATAATGATCTTCAGAATTCGTTCAATGGTCTTCAACGTTTCATCAGGAGCCTTCAGTGGCTGAAAAAAAGCAATCTTGTTCTTGAACTTCTTCTACACGTGTGGGACAAATCAACGAAAACAGTCGCCTACTAAATGCCACTCGACTCCCTCACTGTCCCTTACTGTCAGTCGACATTTTTTGGAACTTTGTAGCTACATGGCTCACTCCCAAAGTGTGTGTATAAAAGGAAGCGCCACAGTATTTCTAAGCAATATCGAAGCAAGTGGCAGCGGAATCATGCGACCAATGTAGCTCATGATCAACGAGTCGTGGAACTAATGCGAGCAAGTACCCACTGTGCTAGCTAGGGATAGGAGCAAGACTGTGCCCATATGCTGCTTGTTTCGGGTGTGATGCGATTCTATCACCGAGATAATGAAATCACGCCGCCCTTTCGACCCGCCACTATTTTGATAGATACTCCTATGCAAGTGGAAACCCTACGATTTTTTTTCTGGAAACTTTTTTTGCGATTCAGAAGAGAAAGTAACAGCTCACCATCGGTGGTGCGTAGTCCATCAGTTGGTAGACAAGGCCCATTAAAAAATCAGCGTCCAGGGCTCGAAGGTAATCCACACCAAATGGGATTCCCTAAACGAAGTCAATGGCACTACGTATTGCATGGGTGCAATTCCTTTAAGGAAAAAGAAACAGAAGCAGACCGATACAGTTCAAAATCTGCTTTTTGCGAGCATTCGGTATCCCGAATTCACTAGACACTTTGGATAAAAACAATTAGGATGGAAAGGAGACAAAATAACGTCTGGTGTCATCTTTTATTCGGATATTTTACAGTTTCATACTTTCCCAATTTTTCCTAGTTTAAAACCTAGTGGACAAAAGGTTTTAAACTTCTGAGACAGCCATGAAAGAAGCGCACGCTTATCAGGCACAACCCCGCCGCAAGCCGACACACATCGCCGGTAACTTACACTGCTGATCGAAAAGGATCACGGAGAGAACTGAAAGATGCAAGTACGACAGTACCTGTATTTTATCGAAATGCACTATTATAGCATCATTCATATTCTGCATGAATTGTTCATAAGAATTCTTCTTGTTCTTCGCTATAACTGCCTCGGCAAAGTGATATATCTGAAAAGGCTACGTATGAAATTCATCTACCGATGAAAAGGTTGGTATCAAGATTATGTTAACAGAAGTTCAGACTCGCTTCGACTACCTTTATTTTAGGGTGATATCTCTCTGTATAAACAAATATAGAGGTATAATATCACTCACCTTTTGGAAAGTTTGCAACCATAAGCACAAAAATTCGGTGCGTACTAACAACTAGAGCTTGTTTGCTGTTAGTCAATTTTTTATCCATTTTCGCTAACTTCTTTGATTAGTTTCTACTAATTTTCACACCTTTCATCGTACTGCAATCATTATCTTTTAGTTTAGAGACTCTGTCAGGGTATCTTTGACAGCCGCGTTCACATATGACCATTTTTTAGTTGGGAAGTAGAAGTAATCAAAAGCAGTAATAGGCCATCAAAATGTGACAGGAGTTTGATATATGGCAAAAAAAGGACTTCCATGCATGATTAGAAATTAGAAAGCGAACAGTACATACCGGGTAGTTGGAGATGCTCGGGTTTGCTTCTTTCATAAATGTCAACTGTGCAGCCGCATCGTCGATTTTCCCGTTCATCAGATTCGAAAGCGTCACTCCTTCAAAACAAAAATCGTATCATTCACAGAATGAAGAATAGAAATTGAATTTTATAGAGCATTCATTACTTATTAGCTAGCAATAAGTAGGAATTATCTCATGATATAGGGTGGGGGAGGGGTGGGTGAAGGGGAGTAGGGGGAAGGAGGGACGGTACATTCGTGCGATTCGGGCTGCGCGCAGCAAATTGCGCGGCGAAATTCA